AACTACTGAGTGAGTCCTTTCATTTTTCTCCCAAGCCTTTCCGTCTCCATCGAGGGAACAGGACTGGCGTCAGAACGGTTTTCGGAAAACTAACTTTAAAGATTTCCCGATCACCCGCGATTGATTCCGGCAAGAGTCAATGAGCGTCGCACGTACCGACATCGTTAGGAACCTGTGACTCCGAGAGAAGAAAAAAAAAAAAAAAAGCGACGTCGAAAACGTTGCGGAGTTTGGGAGACGTTTAACCAGCGCTACCGGACACGCGCGAGAGGTTGAACAGCATCCCGAGAACGCGGTAGAAACCGCGTCGTAATTGCGTGTCATAAGGTGACCGCCATGCGGTCACTGGACGATATCGTGAACCACGGCACTCGGGGTGTTCGTTGGGAATCGACCGTAGCACCGATGAGTTTTTGATGCTCAGTAGAACGGTCCGGGGTGTAAATATGTAAATAGTTGTAAATACTTTCGCGGACTCTGCGGAGTCGGGCGGTGCGTCCGCCGGGCGGTACGCTTGCCACTAACGTCGCTAAGCAACTTGTTTTGTTGCAGACGGGCTTTGCCAGCCGGGCAGCGTACTCGCCGGGTCGAGCAACTCGTGTTGTTGCCGATCGGTGCCGTAAATAGTCTGGTATTGCTATTGGCACGGGGTTTCTTTTTTATTTGGGATCGGTTTCTGTTCTTGCTGATGCGGATAAACTCGAGCTACGGCGCTTGGCCTCTACGAACATTGCAGTTCAAGGTGGCTGTCCTGCGCGACTGGGAGTTGCATTCGGTGCTCTCCTGGTTCGCGTTGGCCAGGGCAGCACGCGGCTCCAAGACTTTTCGAAGTTAGGTCGCTGTGCTATACCTGGCCACAGGAATTTGTGTTTTAGCCTGAGGTAAAAGCTAACATGTTTGGAAAATAACAATGTTGGCGAGCCTGCCCGATTGCAGCCCTGCATCGTTTCAATATCACAAGAAAGGACAGGGTGGCGCATTTGACATTTCATTGCGCCCGCAAATCGAAGCGATTAGGCATCGTTAGCAAAAGCAGCTACAAAGAACTTTGCCTCTTCGAATAGTCACCAACAAATCCATTGTCCGGGGTGACGCGAGTCAGCTTGGTATGTGGACATCCGTGTTCACATTAAGCGGAGTCGTGGAACTATTTTCACAATAACTTCGCAAGCCGAGCCAGTGCGATGCACGTGACTCACGGCAGAAAAGACACCCTTGTCTCTGCCTTTTCTTTTTTTTTTTATCTCTGGGTCCTTGAGCACCCAGGGATTGGTCGAGTGTCCTCAGTTGGACGGCTCGACCTTGCTCGGAATTTCCGAGGTTTCTTGGGGAAAGAAACGGGAGAGGGGGCAGAGCGCAGGTTGCATTCCAGTACCAGGCGGGTGTGAGTCATGGCGCGGCCCACGAGGAGGACAACAATGCCAGGGCAGCGTCATCATTCGCCGGGGCAACGTCATCATCGCCGGGGCTGCCAGTTCCCCTGCCGGCCCGAAAGACTTTTTCACTTCCGCTGTGACCAAGATGGCGTCAGGTGTCCTCCCGCTGCCTGGTTCCGTCTCCAACCCTGGGAACCTGGAGCTGCGGACTTGCTGCCATTCAAGAACTTCGAGTGTCATTCCCTGACACCCTACGCCATCACGGCGACCCTGCTGCTGCCCCAACCTGCGGATTCCCGTCCCGATGCCTGGACCCCGCCTGCAAGCCACCTGCACTGCGGGTGGGCGCTCGTGCCGACGCCAACGACGGTGCGTGTCGTCGGGAGGCGCTCCGGCGTCGTCATTCCTGGACTTCGGCCAAGACATCGTCCTGCCCCTGCGCCATGGTGAGCCACGGACTTCAACGCCGGGAGCGCCTCCGAAGATATTTTTTATTTGTCAGCCCCAGCATGTGGGGGTCGGTACCGGACGCGGTAGTTTTTTTTTCGGTTTCGTTTTTTTTTTTGAGAGTCGGTAGGCAAATTTTGTTTTTAGTCCTACCTTAGCCTTAAGGGGGGAGGAGTGTGGGAGCCACGTGTTCCCCGTCTCCCTATCTAGGCCTAGCACAAGCAGGCCGTGGGAGCGTTATGGCGACGTCATCCCGGATACGGGGGTAAGGCCGCATTCCTCGAAGAGGGCGTGCCTTCCCTTGCCCTTTTGGGTGAATGTGCCTCCGGCGCACCCTTCGGAAATGATTGTGGACGCGGCCCATCTGCGGGATAAGCCACACTACCTACCCCGGGCGCGTCCACTTTCCGCTGGCTAGATAAGCGGCCGCGAACGGCGGCCCGGTCTCTCGTCGGGGAAGGCTCTGGGCCACGGAGCCTCGTTCTTTTTGGAGCTTTCCCCTTTCCACGAATCTGCCTAATACGGCAGCGTGGGCCCCCTCCAGGTGAATCTGTCTAATGCGACAGCGCCGACCCTTTTTCCGTTCTTTTCTTTTATTAGTTTTGCCGACGGGCACAGCGTGGTGGCACAGCAGCCAAATAAACCCGCTTCTTCAGTACCTTTGCGTTTTCGGAGTGATTCCTCTCCTCGGAGTCTACGGCAGCCTCCGGACGGACCCGGCCGTAGCAATCCTCAACATCGTGCTACGGAGTGGGATCGACCTCGTGGTGCAGTAAGGCAAGCAGAATCCCACAAGAAGAACTGCAATGTGTGACATGGCACCACCTGCCGGGAAAGGAGAACCCCGCCGACCTCATGTCACGAGGTCTGACCACCTTGGATTGGTCTCCACTCCACCCTGTTGTTCGGGGACCAGTTGGTTGCCGCTGCCAGCTAAAGAATGGCCCAAGGAGAAGCGCGAGGAGCCACCTCGATATAAGCTCGAGGAGAGGGGTCCGAGAGCTGACATATTGAACATTTCAACACCATCTGCATCGTTGCTTGATGTCACCACATTCAGCTCGGCTTCAAAACTCAACAGAACAAGAGTGTGGATGTTTCGATTCCTTCACAACGTTAGGTCAACGGTAAAACAATCGGGGCCTCTGACTGCAGAGGAAATCCAAGGAGCGCGGACATACTGGCTAAAAGCTAATATCGGCGTTTGCCGCCAAGCTTCGACGTGCGACCAGCAGAACCAAGACCCCATCCACTTCTCCTCTTCGAGACTTTAGTAGTTTCATCAACCAAGAGGTGCTTCGCATAAGAGGGCGACTCCGATCGGACAACATGACATACGATGAACGAAACCCTATCGTACTACTCAAAGAGCATCGATATTCCACGGTACTTGTGATCGACGCTCACAGGATGGTGTTACACGCAGGAGTAAGACACACTCCAGTCCAGCTCCGCGAGAGGTATTGGATCCTTCGGGGTACGAGAGCTGGTGAAGGAGATGCTGCGCTGTGTGTAACGTGCCAGCGATTTAGTGCTATTCCGGCGAGTGCTTCAGTGCTCCACCGGGACCTTTGCTGCGTACGAGAACGACGCAGGCTGAACCTTTCGAGGTAGTTGGTGTTGATTTTGCAGGACCGCTGTACATACAGGCAAAGGACGTCGTACATCACGCTGTTCACTTGTGCAGTGGCGCGGGTGGTCCACTTGGAGCTCGTACCAGACGTTTCAACGAGAAGTTTTCTTGTAGCTGCCCGTAAGTTTGTGTCATGGAGGGTACTTTGCCGCATCATCTACTCAAACAATGCGCTAACCTTCAAGCGAGCCTCCAGAGACCTGGCAGAACTTCGGAAGATCCTACAACACTCAGAAGTGGTGAATCACTTCGCCAATGCAACCATCGAGGGGCGTTTTATTGTTGAGCGTGCTCCTTGGTGGGGAGGATTCTATGAGCGACTGGTTTGATACGTGAAGGTGGGACTAAGAAAAGTGATCGGGAGAAAAACTATGAACGCAGCAGAAGAGTTGTCTACAGTCCTATGCGAAATTGAGGCGACGCTAAATTCTTGTACCCCAACATTCGTTTACAATGAGCTTGACGAAGGCCAGCCGCTCACACCGACTAGCTTTTTCAGGGGACGACGACTGACAGCACTTCCAGTGGCTGAAAGAGAAGACTTTGCGTCGTCTCCGGAGATGCTCCGAGAAATATGGAAACAAAGGAAAGCATTCTTTAACAGACTCTGGGTAACGAGAGGTCAGACTACCCGAGAGAACTTCGATCTGCCCTTGAAACAAAAGGCCAGCAATCGCCACGTCTGGAGGTGGGCGGGCTCGTCCTTCTGAAGGAACAGCTCCCACGTTTACTCTGGAAGATAGGAAGAGTTGAAAAGGTTTTCTGTGGGCGAGACGGCAGGATTTGTGCATGTATAGTGCGCCCGGACAGGGGCAGTCTTCTGAAAAGACCAACTTCTCTATCCACTAGAGATAACAAATTTAAAATGGGGTAACACCCATTCGGTGGGGAGTCTGTAGAAACAATCGGAGACCAAAGACGAGAAAATGGGCCACAGACGCTTTGAAAAGGAGCTCGTGGCAAGGGGCTGGCGGCCGGGGGCTCGTGCTCGGAACAGATGCGATTGACACGTCAGATCGAACTGCTTTGCTGCTTGTGCATGGTGTAAATAAATGTTTCAAGTTCCTGCACAATGCACTGTCAGGGAAAAATGATATGCAAACAGAGGAGCGCGTTGCTTGCGGTACAGGTTGCGCTGCCTGGAAGTGAGCCTAGGAGCGAAGGTGCGTGGCCCACTCCGATATGTTTATGCCCTCCGCTTGGCGCTCCCTAAGCTTCGTCAGTGCGTCTCTTAGTGCACTGAAAGCTACCACCTCTATCTTTGCTCGCTCCGAGAGAGTGCGCGCTTTAGCTGCTACAAGCAGCAAGCTTCCTCGTGCCGCATGCGCCGAGTGAGCAAAGATAGTGGTGATAGCTTTCAGTGCACTAAGAGGCGCACTGCTGAAGCTTGGGGAGTGCCGAGTGAAGGGCGTAAACTCATCGGGTAGGCCATGCACCCTCGCCCCTAGGCTCGCTTCCAGGCGGCGCAGCTTGTACCGCAACCCACGCGCTCTTCTGTTCGCATTTCATTTTTCCCCGACAGTACATGTTCCTTCAGCTTCAGCTTAGCAGTTGAACCGGAAACGGTGGTTAGAGATGAGCAGGTCCTTGTTGGGGCGTTCATATCCACTGGACAGAGTTGGGGGAGCCTCGACGCAGTTGGCCTTTAGTGCAGCTCGGTACGACGGGTAGTGGCAATTGAGGGCGAGGGTTTCCTTCATGAGCTCTTGTACATAGGCTGAAATTAAGACTAGATGGTAGAAGCTGGTAGTTGTACTCGTTTTGACATCTTACCGTACGTGCAGGGCCCTTTCATGGGAGATGCAATTGGCCTCTTTGTTTGTTTAGGCCGCTTGGCCAGGAACCTTTTTTTGCCTTCCTTAGTAGTCGCCTGTGGCCTGTCGCTGTTTTCATTGAAATGCAGCGCTGCCACAAAGACTCTGAAAAGTTAAGACTTTAGCGGGCACATGCAAACAATTGGTTAGCTTGCATACCTTGCCTGCATGCTCTCGTAACCGAAGTGTGTCGACTTCGGTGCGAACTGGTTCACAGTGCTGTGAAGGCACTCAGTTGCGTAGGTTTGCGCTGAGGTTGAGAGCTGCGGGATGTCCTTCAGCAGTGGCTTTGACAGCACGATGCTCTTTAGCTTCTCGTGTGCCTGAAGTCCTGGATAAAGTAGGACACTTGTATTACAGACTGTATGGTTTCAAATCTGCTATTGCAACAATAACACTAAGGCTCATAAGAAAACAGCAAAAAGTAGTAGTTTTGTGTAATTAAATTAAAAATATATGATATCCAGAGGTTAATAAAAGGGTTAGAGCTGATGAGAACAGATTAAATTGGGTAAGTTTACTAGGGTGCTACCAGTCCTGCTTACTGCCCGAGTTTATGATTCCTAGATTTTTTATCGAATAGACCAAGCGATGCCGATTTTAATTTTGCAAAGGCATGATGCACCAAATCGTCGTGCTTGGTTGACTCGTGTGCCCGAACATGTAAGTACAGGTCCCAGCGGTCCGTATAAACACCGCGCGCTGGCGATGCACGCGGAAGAAAGCTGAAGCTACCACCTATCGGATCACTCCCCTCTACCAGCAGTCATAGGTTCTTCCCTGGCTGTGTGGCAGCCAGGGAAGAACCCTGGCTGCCACACGGACTAACCAGTATAGAGAGCCAGTAAACTTGCCACATTCATAACCAGACACCTTGAAACTAAGAACCAGTACAACAACTTGGTTGAAATTGTTAAAGAATAATTCAACCTAAGGCCAATTCAAAAGTTTTATGTGTGAGCAAATTGCGGTTCCACTAGAAAAGGCACACCAGGGCCCGTTTGCTTGACGCGCTAACTATGGCTACAAGTTGACTGCAGTACCTAGGTGAGGGATTTTGAAATCACGTGACTGGCTCGGTAGAGATGCGGGGAAACATGGCAGCGCCCCGATGAGTTAGCGCTGCTCGCTTTGGAACTAATATGTCGTTGTAGCTGCAGTATCTGGTGCGTTAATCAGCAACGAATGGTGCAGGAGCCTTCACTTTGCCTTACCTCACTTAAATCGCAAAGCATGAGCAATGACCTCGCCGCATTTTTTAGAGTCTTTCCATACTGGCCATTTCTAAGCCTAAATGAATGCGATAATTGTCAGCATGGCAACGTCTTTGGAAAACGGATTGCCTTGACTGAATCGGCCGGGTATTCATACCACACAAAAGCAGACAGCGTCCCAGCAGACCTTTTTCTAAATACCCAAGCATTGAGGAGAACGCTGAAAGTGTAATTCTATGGTCCACGAGCGCTGGTCTTCCTCTTATAAATAATTCAAAGTAAATAATCATAAGGCTTTGACAAGCATGCGTGCAAGGCAAAATTTGTTTTAGACTTGTGGGCAGACCAGCATGTCTGCCCAAATCTCATTGCGCAATGTGTGGCACTGCTATCGGCCGGACCTGTTTGTTTGCAAACATGAGTTGGTATATACTTCACAGCTTCACTTGGTATGAAACACTAACATGTCAACACTGTTAATATGCTGTGGTCTACTTGCCCTCAGGAAGCCACTTTTTCTTCCCCAGGTCTCCGTGCTGGCACCTTGGATACAGGGGGTCGGCATGTTCGTGCAAGTCAGCCACGTGTCCCACCAGGGAAGTCCACTTAAGAAGGATCTCCTCTGGCGCTCCATCGCTGGATTCCGCACACCAATAGAGGTGCTTGACAGTTGCCTGCACCCAGTCTTCGAGTCCCACAAGGGATTTGAGTTTCCCAGCTGAGACCATGCGTTTCTTGATGCCTGAAAAATGAATAATTAAAATATGGCAACCAACCAATTCCTAAACATGTAGGGGCCCTACGTTTCGAACCGACTCGGTTCTTCGTCAGGGGCGACTGTGGCCGTTGAGGAGCGACGTTTTTCGATCTTCTTTTTCTTTTCTCAGGGATGTGGCGCATTTCTCGATCTTCTTCTTTCATGAATATGGCGAAGCCCGTTCACATACACTGTTGGTAAAGCACCAAGGCACCTATTTATGTTGCCTGGCGTCGTTTGAATATGCCAGGACTCGACGAAAAGCCTATGTCGGTTGTTAGTTTCTGCGTCGATAATGCTGGTGTTGTCGAAGTCAATCCGGTGGTCTTTGACTTCGCAGTGCTCGGCGACTGCGCTGCGCTCGTGGTCGAGCTTGCGAACGTCGTTTTTGTGTTGGCGTATTCTTTCATTAAAATTCTTTGTCTCGCCAATGTAAGTGGCTGGACAATCTGCACAAGGGATCTTATAAACCACGCCCTGAGTTTTTTCTTTCGGAGGGCGATCTTTAGGACGGGGCATGAGTAATCCAAGCGTGGACATCGGCTTGTGGGCTACGCGGATTCCTTCTTTGGCTAGCACGCGTGCAAGCGCCTCGCTTGTTCCTCTGATGTAAGGTACGCAGATGCGCGAGGTTGGGCGTGGCTGCGTACAGGCTTGTGGTTGCTGTTGTCTTTGACCTCGAGCTTGACGACGGGCAACGCCCGTCGTCAAGCTCCCCAACCAGAGAGATTTCTCTCAAATGTTTAGTTTCTGAAAAATGAAGCATTGTATTCATCCTGCTAAGCACCAAGCTTACATTGCCAGAAACAACAGCTTGACAAAATAAAGAGTTCATAATTATGAACACCAAAAACAAGAAAAACCCAATCCTGCCCCATTTTCTCAAGTATAAAAAAAAACATGGCGATACCTCACTCTAGGACACTTTACTTTTTAAACGCTTTCGTCGAGTGTAAAGTTTGTGCCTGCTGTCTTCGATGCTGCGCAAATAGTTACGGGACGGAAGAAACATCAAAACCCAAGCAGTTTGGGCTCCAAGTCGGCATGCGCATGGCCTGGTGAGCGAGATCGTTCCCAACCGCTCTGGGGACGCCACCTCGCCCAACCTTGCCAAACGCGACCGGACCCTGAGGCCGAAGGGCTCTGGCACAGCCAGGAACGGCACCGAGGTTGGAGCTCCTCTTTCTGCCTAGCATGCAGTGCTCAGAGCTATCGGCGTCTGTCCTTGCACTGAAGGCTCTAGGGACTCCTTCGGACACGAAGGTCCTATTTCGCGAGGCCTGGACAAGGGCCGCTTTACCGAGCAGATTTGCTATATTCCACTCACACAGTTTGACAATAAAAGCTTGCGGTTCTTCTCTGAAGAAAATATTGCGGGCATCCACACGGACTGCTCTCCGCCGCCGCCGAGGGTGGCCGCCGCCATGTTCTCAGCTGTTCACTTGCTCCCAGAGCGGGTGCCTTCCCATAATCCTTACCGATCCAAATTGCGATGCGACCTCCATTTACATGTTTTGAATAAATGTGCATTCGCCATCTCAATCCACCTCTGTCTAGCGACTTGAATGCGATGCGCTCTCCTACTGTATTATTTTGTTTACATCACCGCATTGAATGCGACAACTGGATTCGATGCGACTAAGCCGCATTTTTGTAAACACGGCTTATGTTTCAGCTTATATTGTACTGCAGCGAAAACTAGAAGCGCAAGCTCATGGCCTTGGCAGCTGCTCCTGCTGCACGAGAGCTTGTGCCGCTGAGCAGTTGCCATACAGCAAGGAGCTCCCGCTTGTAGCCTTTCCTGCAGTACAACATACGCAGAAACAAAGTATAGTGACAGGCAAGGGTAGGAGTGTTCTGCAATTAAATGGTTTTTTGTTTTTGCATAACCTGGAACCCCGATTACTTATGGCTCACCTTTTGCAACGTACCAGCAGTCGAACATGTGCTGAATCTGGGGGTACCACTTGGCAAGGAATGACTTGATCATGGAGTGGCGATCAGTGATGATTCCTCCCAAAGTCAATCCATTGGCTTCACAAATCAGTAGAGTCCTTTTCAGGCCCTCGAGCTCCATTGCCCAGCTGCCCTTCGTTTCGTTGGATTGAAGTGACAAATAAAACATTTCATTATCACACCGAACATGAACTATCCAGAACGAAGTCAACTAGAGCTGTTGAATGAGACAACACATGTCTGAAACAAGTTGTTTTCGCCATTCATTTTCAATTAATTACAGAAAGGTTTCATTCCAGAAGAACAGAAGCATCAGAACAGGGGAAATTTACCTGCACTGTTTCCACATGGAGAACCTTCTTCGTTGAGACGTCGACGACGGTGTACGTTCCATATTTCGCTGAGTGCCCGGGGGAGTCTGACCGCCCATCACCAGCGAGGACCAGCTCTCGTCCACTTCCTTGCTCGAAGAGCTCGTTTTGTTTCCTGTTCCACACCTGGAAGTTTATTTGCAAAGACTTTTGTAAACAAACATAAATCCTGAACATGCTTTTCATTTCACCTATAAGTATACTGCAAGCTTCTTTTCTTTATGTGAACGTCCATGGAAGTTCAGCATTTAAGTTTGAATCCCAGTAAATGCGATCAAAGCATTGACAAATTGTAATTCGTCTTTCTTTCTTTTCAAAATGAGGGGATGAAATGCTCCGAGTCGTGAGTATAAATATTGAAGGCACATATGCACTATTACACTGTTAGCAAAAATAACACGCCCAGACGTGTAAACCGTTGTCCCATAGCGGACACGTCGAAACGTGTTCGTTTTACACGCAGCCATCTGTGTTTTTCGTCTACACATGAGGTGCTGTGTAAACTTAACACGATACACCGTGTTTTTCTTCCGCTAAGCACGGTTCAGCGTGTTGGCTGAGCATGCTCATAAAACATGGCGGCCAGCAGCCGAGAACAGGCGAGGGACGAGCCCAGCAAGCCGCGCGCCTTTCGGCTGAATTGAAAGCACACAGGACGGCGTTTGTTCTCCTTCGATGTCTTTTATACACACTAAACACTCTCCAAGCGGCGGACGTAGCTACGCGCAAAAATACGTACGTACGTACGTGCGTCGTCGGCGGTCGGCGGCGTCGGTAGCTACGATCGAGCCGCTAGACAGGCTAGACAGAAAAGCGAACTTAAATGGACAAATAACTCGAACAAACTATTTGAAATCGGGCGGTAACTTCCGCCACCTAGCGGGATTTCTAGCAGTCTATAAAAAAAAAGTTTATATGCTACGAGCCTACGACCGATCACAGGTAGACACAACCCCTACATACATCACGCACAACACCAATACCACGCATTACACATCACCGACATATACACAAACACAACACCCGACACTGCGCCCGACACTTCCTACTTAACATGCTCTTTTCTCCGCAGCGTATATAAGCTTGGCATGTGCGGGTGAGCTATTTAGTCGCTGACCGTTACAGATTTATAGAAGAAGACACAAAACACGGCGCAATGGACAGCCGTATGTAAGAACTCTTTGCATTTAAAAAGTATGGAGGCAAAATCTATAATGTTAGTCCGTTCCGAAAGATAACGATGTATTGACAATAAATCCTAAACCGGTCATGAAGAAATTCAAATTTTTGTTATTTGTATGCTAGACCAGTGTTGTGAGCAGTCCGACTAGCTTGAATCAGATTTTTTTTTAATTATTAAGATTTTATCATTATATAATTAATAATAAACGGAAATGATGCTTGCGCAAAGCATTTTTTTATATATTCTCGTGAAGGACATGTGCTCAACACTTCACTTCCGCTAGTTGCAGTACAGGAGCAGACGCCTTCACTTTTGGGTCGTGTTGATGCAGTTTGTTGTCGTCTGTCGTGTCGGTGTTGAGTGGAGCGGTGGGGCTCGGGAGTTCGTGGCCGGTGTTATTCGTGATCACTGGTGTGAAGCGCTAATGCGTCTTTTATTTTTTTTTTTTTACACTGCCACGCTGTTACCATTCCGAACTTTGAATATACACGGGCCCGTAGCACTGCATTATGCTGAATGGCGAGCTCCTTCTCTGCTGACGTCGCTTTCCTGGTACCACTCGTGGATACTGCAAGCGTTTAAACAGTGTACACCGTCTCTCCTACATCCCCGGTGACGTATTCTACCTGTTGAAACGTTTTGCTTCCGTCATTTTTAAGTACGCAAGGCAGTTATCTCGTTGCTCTGGTTCCGGTTATAAAAGCAAGGCAAAACGCTCGTAGTTCCCGCCCTCAGTACACGTTGGACATCTTCCACACTTTGACACCGGATAACTGAATGAACGAGGATCTACATTCACTTCAGAGGTCACTCTCGCCGCTTCCTCACCGTTTAGCAGCAGGATCAGCTGGCGACAAGCCACGGATGAAAGCATTCGTGGCTTGTGAGCATCAACAGCCCAAGCGCACTCGGTGCCGACGCGGGCGATGCGGGTTTCTGTCAACGGGGAGGCCAGCACAAACCGTGACCGTTCCAGCTCTTCGTCATGGCACGGTGTTGTAGAGAGCAGAGTAAAATACAACTACACGGACCACCGAAGCAAACGCACTGCTATCGGGGTCCATATCACAATAGCGAATGACATTTTAGCGAACAGCGACATTTGAGCGAATGGTCGTTTTAGCGAATAACGGGGGCGCGTGTTAACCCATCCGTCGCGCTGCGCTTTACGCCGCTTCGCGGCGACAGTCTGCGGCAACTCATTACAAAAATATGAACTCACTTGGCCCACCCGAAAACGCCGCTTCGCGGCGTCCGACTATTCGCTAAAGTGTCATTCGATGAAACGTGGGCGTTCGCTAAAACGTCATTCGATCAAGTGAGTGCCTCCCCTGCTATCGTAAATCTTGGCTTGTGATTGCGCCTTTGTAGATCATCTTATTCGTTTTACTGGAGAGACGCAAACGACAGGCATAACAAAATCGCTTGCATACTCCGCATACCTCGCAAAAGCATTTACCCATTCACCTTACGAAAAGCGCGAAACACGGAGTCCGCACCGTCCTAAGCTTCTTCTGTTTTTTACCTGCTTTAGAGCAGTTTGTACCCGCTTTTAGATATGCCTACTGAAACTGAAACAGGGCAGTGCCATAGAAAACAGACAAAGTTGGGAAAGCGGAAAGCTTGCTCGCTCTCTCCAATTGCTCAACTCTCAAGTGATTGCACCATAGTAAATGCACCAGCGCCTTTCCAAAACAAAGAAAAAACACTATGTTCACCTCGCAAAAAATGGTCTCAGTTCATGCATCTGTGGGCAGGTAGGAAATCTTGCCCCAATTTATTCACACCGCATGATGAGCGCAACAAACTCGCACGAGATTTAAAGGAAAATATCAGTGGTGACTTAAGTTTCCCTGAAATTCTGTTACCGGTCGTTTGCAGGACCGAGTCATCTACTCGAGCTGTGTGCGTCGCTGTGCAAACGCAGTCCAACACGAAGCATAAAAACGGCAGATCTAGGACAACAATCCGGAGTCCATTGTTCAATTAAAACGACGTAATTTTGTTGAAAACGCCCACAGCTTTTTACTCACGGTATGCGTCGGTATACTTCCACATTTTGAAACAGAACGAGGGAAGATTTACTTTTAAAAACGCTCGCTGCGTCCTCCCGGACCAGCTGGACCGGATCAGCTGATTACGACGGACTAAACCCACAGCAACCAATTCGCGCTCCGTGTTAGTGTGGCCAGTGTGGCTTTCTACCTCCAAGCACCGCACCACGCACCACGGACACTTCAGCTCTTTGTCGCATCGCCGCGTTGCACCAAACAGAACGAGATCGCCGAAGTAAACGCAGCGCTGTCGTGACCCTTGGCTTGTGGTTGCGCACTCGTGGACCCGGTGACACCCTTTGCTTTCCAAGCACACACGACGATTGGGAATGATGCTTTCCGTCGTCCGGGAACATCACAGGGGCACGTCTCCGGTCACGTCTTCGCTACATGTGCTCGCAAACCGAGCACCTTCCAACCTTCTTGCCCAACCAAAAGAATACCGGCGCCATGTTAAACGTGCGTTGTTGCCAGATTTTCTCCGACCAAATAAAAAACAACGAAAGCAAACCGGTTCTAGCTTCCAGCTTACATCGGCGTTACGCCGTGGCCAAATTTTCTCTGTCAGCTCTAACTTAAAGATGACCTACAGATGCAGCAACACTGGACACCACGGAGTGCCGTAAATTCTGAGGAGGATGCATGGGAAGCGGCGGCACCTTCGCTTGCAGTTGGAAGGGTTGAAGCCAAAACGAAACCAACTGCAATGTCGCGTGTTCAGATCAAGGGCACGCTTTTTATAGCCATTGTAACTGTTTAGAACGAGTAATTATACGCCTAACTTTATTTTTGGCGTGTGAGAAACAATTATCAAGACCCCTAATATCAATACAAACAAGGGCGACATAAGGGAAGCCGCATTGCCATTGCCGACCACAAACAATGGCAGCCAGCACGCACGGTAAGCGCGGGGTTCGCCCCGTCTCGCGACATGGCGTAATTGCTTTTGGTGCTTATCTGCCTCCGAGACATGTTCCTTTCCGCGGAATTTGACTCCACGGTCCTTTCTAGGTGTGTCCCCAAGCGTTCCGGTGCTTCGGTAGCCGGCAATGCTGCGGTCGTCGCCGGCGGTGGTGCGTGTTTTCGAGGTCGGCTACACGGTTATGCGTGTATGACCGAACGAAAACACGTTTTTTACAACCTCGCATGATTTTTGAACGAATTATCCGTTACTCAACGTGTAAATTTATGGTAATTTGTGTAAATAGCGTGTTTTTCACCCCAAATATTCACCAAATACACGGGACTTGCTAACAGTGTAGGTAGAATGGCAAAACACTTTTTTACTTTCTATTATCTATGCAAGGGCTAGTTGATGAATAGCTTTTGACATTTTCCGTATTGAAACTCAAGAAGCATAGTTTTGCACTTATTTAGGTCGCATACACCCCTGCCTGTTCAGGTCTTGTTCCCCTCGCAGCAATCAACAAGGACAGTTTGGCTGCCGAGGAGCCGCCTTCTCAAGAGCGGGCTCGTTTTTTTAACCTTGAAAAAATGCCACCCCGTATAAAAAATAGAGTACTCGCCGATTAATCGTTACGATCGGCCTGGGAAACATTTATTTTTGATTCTTTTACTTATTCCCCAAATCAAAACCTGCCCTTTACACTGTCCACTTATCCAGTTGGTGCAATCAGTCACGAAGCAGAAGTTAAAGAACTAATTAAAAACGTTGCCTCCACGTTTAGAAACACATAGGGCGACAATTCACCCACATGGAATGCGGCGAGTCTTCGAGCTTGAAGTATGTGCCATGAGCCCTGTATATACTTGCTTTGCCCACACAGTTGGTACCTTTCCACCCGAGGAGTGTGGTAAAAATAGGTTCAGAGGAACAGAGGACATCTCAGCTCTCCCTATTTACAATATTTTCCAGCACATAAGTTGTTTCTTTCCTCAAATTCCTGTCAGTGTATCTTACACAGAGGTGCGACTTACACCGCTTTTTTTGCAAGTATAAACCATAGCTGTGCAAGGCCGTATCAAAGTTACAACAAAGGAGAATCGGCAGAGCCTGTAGTT